CCCATGGCAGGCTGGGAGCAGTTCCTGAGGACCAGTTACCTGTGGGCTCACAGGACACCTCGTCAGCCATGAGCTTGTAGTCCTGGTGACAGCTGCAGGAGCGCTTGGTCCCTGGGTTGTCACTGCAGTATTGTTGACAGCCCCCGTTTTCATTCAAACAGATCAGCTCGCTGTTTTTGTCTGAGAACAAGAAGGGGGAGTATGAGCAAGTCAGTTGTGAGGGGCTTCCTCTGCCCTGGAGGAAAGGGATAATTCTCTCCTGGGCAGGAGGAGGGCCTGTGGCCTGTAGATTCTGAATTTGGCATGGCCTTGGCTCTGGGGTTGGAGTTGCATGGTCAGGACTCTTAGGGGTGGGGGAGAACTGACATCATCTAAGCATCCCTGTCAGTAGGAGAGAAGGGTTGGCAGGCCAGTGTTTGGAGAATTAAGGAATAATGGTAGGAAGGAAGGAATGATGGTGTTTCAGGAATGAAGGGCTGATGGTGTTTGTACTTCCCAGCGCCATTAGGTGATTGGCAGGATACCTGTTTCCTTAGTCTTTTCTTAGCTGTTGCTGGGCTCGGATTATTGTAAACGATGCCAGGGCCATCCTTGTCTCTCACGTTGACTATTTGCATTTGGTTAATTCAGTCCCAGGTCGTCTTGCCATGGACCAAATTTGGACCAGCAGAGGCATAAGATAAAAGGCTTTATGGAGACTGGACTTCACAGTGAAGGTAGTTAGAGCACATGGTGGGGAGGTGTGAGTAGAAGTGGTTGTGTGCAGGCAAGAATGTGGCCCTGCCCTGATGAATTCATGGAAGTGAGAAGGCAGAACTTAAATATGCTTTCATTGCCCACCACACACAAAAACAACGTTGGACGCTGATCATCTAAGATGCTAAGGTAGCTATTGGGGTTTTCCTCTGATTTAGCATTCATTGTTTCATGTAAAAATTTAAAATGAGGACGGCCTAACATAAACATATGTTTTCAATTATTGAAAAGTACTGTCCTGTAACTGGAACCCTGGTGGTGAGTTGGTTGCTCATTGGGCTATGATGGTTGGCAGCTCAAAACCACCTCTGCTTCATGGAAGTAAGACTCCAGTAAACAGTTATTGTCTTTGAAATCCACAAGGGTCATTATAAGTCAGCATTGACTCGGTGGCAGTGAGTTTGTTGAACAACTGTCCTATGAAACCACAGTTATGATGCCCTTCTCATCTAGGACTCAGATTCTGTGAACTGATAGATCCAACACCAGACTGGAATCAAGAAGTCCAAAATAAGTTCTGAGTGATTCTTTTGATTTTGACCAGTAACTTACTAAAAATATTATTTTTCTCATTAGGAAGAAATACCAATAGTAGACAACTGTCTGGAGGCCTGACAAAGAAATGCCTCCAGTGGTTTGGGGAAGGATACAATGTACAGAGCCAGGATGAGTCTCAGGGACCCTGTGAACCCTTAGAAACTCTTTAAAACATTTGTGTATCTGGGGCTTTTTTGGTTCTTGTCTACCTATGTGTCTACATGTCAGGGTGTATTTCCTAGACCCTAGAATAGCAGAAGAGGGTGGTATTGGGGACATCATGCTCAGTTGAGGAGGGGTAATAAAGAAGAAAGCCCCCTATCAGATGGATTGACATAATGGCTACAACAATGACCTCACGTATAGGAACATTTGTGAGGGTGGCACAGTACTGGGCAATGTTTTGTTCTGGGGTGCATAGGGTCACTATGGGTTGGAACCACCTTGATGGCACCTAACAACAACAACAGCAGCAAAAATAACAATTGCAGAAAAAGCGATGATGGCCAAGTGGTAGCATTTTTTTCACATGAGATGCATAGGTTCAACGCCCAGTCAATGCACCTCATCCTTAGCTACCACCCATCTGTCAGTGGAAGCTTGTGTGTTGATGATGTGGAACAGCATTCAGCAAAACTTCCTCACTTAAGCAGACTAAGAAGAAAGGCCTTGCGATCTGTTTCCCAGACCCCTATAGATCCCAATGATCTGATCCATAGTTGCTCATCAGGATGGTTCAGAACAGGGTCATGGGCCATTCTGTTGTTCAGGGGTCACCATGAGTTGGAGCAGAACAACCACCACAGAAGAGCCCAAGAACCATTGGTCTAATCCCAGTGTAGCTTTAGGAGAACCCGAGGATGTGTCCTGTTGACATCATGTTTGTTGTTGTTTGTTGTTGTTGTTAGGTGCTATCAAGTCCGTTCTGAAACACAGAGACCCTGCACACAACAGAACAAAACACTGTCTGGACTCGAGACATCGTCACAGTTGTTTTGTTTAGATCAGTTATTGCAGTAGTTGTGTCAATCCATCTCATTGAGGGTCTTCCTCTCTTTCTCTGCCCTTCTACTTGACCAAGCACGGTGTTCTTTACCAAGCACAAGACCCTTCTACTTAACCAAGCATGATGAGGCAAAGTCTTGACATCCTCTCTTCCAAGGAGCTTCCTCATAGGCAAGAAGAAAGGCGGGGAGACTGATTCCTCAGAAGGATTCTCCATAATCATGGGCCCATTGTAGGTTTGCCTGACAGGTTGGTCTTAGGGCCCTGAACAACAGTTTCCTTTTGCTTGCCGATGAGACCTGCTGGAGAGGCTGGGGCTTTGGGATTCCTTAAATTAATATTTATCCAATATTCCTTATTCAGGGAGTGTCTTTAGGAACTTTATATCCTCACCTCTTTAGGACTGACTGAGTTCAGATTTTGGGTGTTGTGGTAGTTACATAATTTCATGTGGACTTGAAGTGTAGGGGTGTGGTCAGCCTGTCAATCATGTCACAGCCTGATGGTGCCTCCTGTGGGTGTGACCTCCTCATAAGGAGGGTCCTGGGAACTTCCCCCTCTCTCTGCCTTTATCTTGCTGCTGTTGATTCATTTGGAGAGCTGCCAGTGCCACCACCATTGGACCCATGGGACTTTGCACCCACCAGCCAGTGATGTTTCTGCATTCTGCATCATTGCTTGTGACTGCATGAGTCTGAAGAGGGACTTATGGACCAGTATTGGACTTGTGGACTCGGCTGGGATGTTTGCTTCATATATATAATTACCTCTTGATATAAAGCTCTCTCTTACACATGTATGAGTGTCACTGGTGTTGTTTCTCTAGTCAACCTGGCCTAACTCTGAAGTCAAGCCATGTAGTGAATGTGTAGCTTTCACAACCAAGAAGGACAATGAGTTCTTAGCAGGATAACAGAGTGGGATGGGGTGTGGTGGAGAGAGTTTGTTTTTAGATGTGTGCACGATAACTATGCCATGATTGAGGCCATCTCAAAGTAAGTATGAATAAACATGGATTTTCTCTTGTTTTCTTCATGGTTTATTATGCAAATACTGAAGGATTCTGGTCGGATATATACATATATGACAGGGACATTTGAGTAAAAGATGATGACAATTTGTGCCCCATCATGTACCCAGGTCTGGCATCTTTCCCTCCACTGCCCCTCACCATTTCTGCACGTCCCCGAGTTCCTGGGCAGAAGGCAAGGAACCGAGAAGGGAGCAGCATACTGTCTCTCCAATCCCCCCACCAACATCACATCCACAGAGCAACCAGGTGCTCATCTTGAAAGCAGATGTGGCCCAGAAGAGCTCATTCAATATCAGAACATACACCTGTGCAGGACAGAATTAACCTTGCCTAGAAAGAGGTTTTTGTCATCATCCCCTGCAGGGTCATCCCTAAGCCCTTGGAGTATTCAGCCTGAGAAGGGTGTCTTTGTTTACCTGAGGACCTTGGGCTACACTGTATAGCCTAGGCCAGGGGTATGGAAACTTTTTACTTGCCAAGAGCCATTTGGATATTTATAATATCATTCTCAAGAGCCATACTGTTAAAATATTAATTAACTCAACCCTAAGATGTTGGCTCGAATGACTTCTCTTTGGTGAAGTGTGTGATGTTAGCTCATCTTGATGATTATTGGACTGGATATTCCCCACCCTTGGTCTAGTAGCATTAGCTGAACTGCTGGAGGAGCTGGAAAGGTTAACCACATGGGTTGCCTATGTGTACACACATACAACTATGTATATTTGTAAACATATGCATATACATATGTATATGTGACTATGCTCTGCATATGTGACTGAGCCCCAATTAAAGACTGTGAACACCAAGGCCCATGTGAGCACCCTTGATTGGCAATGGACCTTGTGTATTGTTGCACATCAACACCATCCACAGCTCCACTGGGTGATGACAACAGGTAGCATTGTGCTTGTACCCTCCTGTGCTCTTTCCCATAACAGATTTTCAATATGTATTTGTTGGCCCTAGTAAACTGCAACCTAGACTATAACAGCTTTTCATGGATTCTATGAGCCTTTCTGGTGAAGCATCAAACTTGAAGGTAGTCTTGTGGACTCTTAAACTTGTCATTCGTGTGAGAGGTGAGGGTGGTGCTGGGGGCTTACCAGATTTTGCAATACTTTAATATTTGAAGGTGAAAAAAACCTCTCTAATAACAAGAAGCAATGGTACAGTAATAATACCAAATAAAGTTTGCCAAATTGTCTTGGCTGGTGGGATATGTAGGCTGGAGGAAGTGAGGTGGTGACGCTCACCTGTCCTCTATGTGCATAGCAGACGGTCCCAGTGCTGGGGCCTGAGATTTTTATACTTCTCAGAAGTGGATGTATGGTAATAAAGTATGGGAATTATCATCTTAGAATTCTAGATGCATGTCTGGCAGATTGGAAGTTCACCTAAATCACTATCTGGCCAGAGCTGAACTCTCTGGCTGGACCAGTCCCTCTACTGAGAATGTTCAATCAGAAGCTGTCTTGATCAGGTGGGCTGGTTCCCATCAGTTTCCCGGGACCCCTCTCTATAAATTATAGGATGGGAAGTAGGGCCTTACTTTTCTGACAGTTCCGACCCTCAAAGTCCTCTAGGCAGAAGCAAATGTAAGACTGTAACTGGTCCATGCACGTGCCTCCATTCTGGCATGGATTGGAAGCACATTGGTCTCCATCTGTGGAAAGAGTTGGTGTTCCTGAGCATGTGGAGGAGAAGGGGGATCTTGCAAAGGGGCAGGTGGGTGAGGTCAAAATAAGTAAAGGATTTGCCTACTCACCAGTGTAAGAACGCCAGAATTGGTTCTGAGGAAATGAGAGAAAATCATGTGAGACACGTATTCACCCAAAGGAAACATTTATTGCATGCAATTCATGGTGTGGGCAAGAGTGGGTGGGCTGGGAGTGTCTGATTTGGGGCCCTTTGTGATGGATTCAGCATACTGTAGAGGTGTTCTGTGGAGATGAAACAGTGTTTTCCTAATCTTTCCCCTTCCGCCTCAGAGGCTCAGTGTCCCTACCCCAAATTAGAACATCCAGGCTTAATACTTAACCTTTAGTGGTTACATGTTGGGCTGCTAACCACAAGGTCAGTCATTTGAAAGCACCAGCTGCTCCGAGGGAGAAAGATGAGAGGTTCTACTCTTGTTGCGAGTTACAGTCTTGGAAACCCATCGGGGCAGTTCTGTTCGGCCCTGTAGGGTACTCATGAGATGGCATTGACTCCATGAAAGTGGGTTTGAGCTTGAGCCCTGACCCTACTGCCTGTGAAACTAGAGCAAGACATACAACCTGTCCAGGTCTCCACTTCCTTTCCTGATGAGTGGGTCCAAATTGATCAATAATTGCACTAAGGTATTGAGAAGTACTTTATCATCTGCAAAAGCCAAACCAATCAGCTGCTGTCAAGCCAGTTCTGACTCATGGAGATGCCCTGTGGTACAGAGTAGAGCTGCTCATAAGGTTTCCTTCAGGGAAATCTTTAGGAAAGCAGATTGCCAGGCCTTTCTTCCATGGTGTTGCTGCATAGGCTCCAGCTCTCAACCTATCAGCTGTTATTGTTAAGTGCTGGCAAGTCACTTTTAACTCACAGCAACATTTTGAACAACATCAAAAAGCTGCCTCAGTGATTCCTGGTGGCACAGTGGTTTTGTCTTGTTCTGCGATCCACAAGGTCCGCAGTTCAAAGGCAGAAAACGGTGCCTAGTCGGGTGCCATCATCACAATTGTTCACTTGGAGCCGATCATTGCAACCACTGTGTCAGTCCATCCCCTTGACAGTCTTCCTCTTTTTGTTGACCCTTACTTTACCAAGCTTTGTGTCCCTCCTTTCCCAGGGACTAGCCTCGTTTAACATGCCTAGAGTACTTGAGACAAAGTCTCTCTATCTTCCCTGTTAAGGAG